AAAAAGAAAGAAAGAAAGAAAGAAAGAAAGAAAGAAAGAAAGAAAGAAAGAAAGAAAGAAAAGAACCCGGAAACCTAACACATATAGCGCTTGGCTTCCCGCCCACAGCCAGTGGCTGCTAATTCTCGAATATGCCCACGACTCTCTCCACTCACCATGCTGTAGCTTTCTTAGGTGAGGGGCCCCTCCTCGGTCGCAGAAGTACAGCAGCGCCCCCTCCACCGCCTGGGGTAGGGTGTGCGCACCGCGCATGCGCTCACCCATGAACACAAACACACACCCCCGTCACCCCCAACACCCTTTTCCAGCTGAAGTGCTCTTGCTTTTCTTTCTGGCCGTGCAGAACGAAGGGACCAAGACATAGAGGGAGGGGAGGGGTGAGAACAGTGAGACCGGGTTATGTCCAGGGACCAAGCCCCACCCAGAGGAGAAAGGCAAGTGTTATGTACTGCAAACATTTTTAAAAATAAAAGAAGTCTAAGTAGCATTTATTGTATATGTAGAGAGCGTTATGCCTTCAGGGGAGAAGGTGGCCAGTATCACAATAATATCTGCCCAAAGTGCAAGCCTGGATATATTTCTATGCACACAAGAATTACTCCTGTGGTTCAGGGGACTGCGGTGAGTAGGAAGCTTATCGAGATCTCTCCTAGGGCTTACTCTGGGATGCCAACATCGCAAAAATGTCTTTCTTGCTTCTGTCAGGTGCTCGGTGTTCCCTCAGAGGCCTCAGTCATAGAAGAGCCTAAATCAGGTCTCACTCAAGGAGGGAGGGTCTTCAAAGAATGCTCCTCTTTGGGGGGTGCCTGGTCTAATGCCAACCTGTTTGGGCTGTGGATGGAGCTAGTGGTAGAGTGCTTTCTGAGCATGTACCAAAACGAAAAAGCAAGAGAGGACAGCATGCTTGTAATCCCAGCATTCTGGGAGGCTGAGGCAAGAGGATGGCAAGGTTAAGCTTAGCTCGAGCAACTTAACAACTTAGAGAAACCCTGTCTTGAAAACAAGAACAAAAAAAAAGTTTTAAAGAAAACAAGGACTAGGGATATAGTTCAGTGTGCAAATTCCGTCCTTGGTATTGAATTATTTTTTAACTGAGTGAAAAAAGGTTTAATATTTGTGATAGGGCATTTGTGAAGGGTTCCAATGCAAACCTGCTCGTGTCACCATCTTCCTTACAGTTCTACAGAGGTTCACTGTTGTAACCAACAGCTAACACAACCTCTAAGGCCGTCAAGGGTTATGTTGACCCCGAGCTCTCCCGAGCCTCTTTCTTCCCTGCCTCCCCCCAGCGTATCCCACGCCCTGTGTGCCAGCCGCAAGGTCTCCCAGTCCCTGCACACACCAGGCTCTCCCTGACCCCAGGCCTTCCCCTAAGCCCTTCTGCCCACCACCTCCGTGCATTGTGAACTGCTGCCCGTCCTGGTCCGCCCCAATCTCTCCAGGCAGGCCAGCTGTCCTTTGAGACAGCCACACGGCCTCCCATACAGCCTCCTCAGCAGAATGGGATTAGTGGGTAGCCAGGTTATCAACCACCTGGAGCAGAAATCTGCAAGGGAATGTAAAAATCAGGAAATGCAGTGAGACTAGAACGCATCTATCTCTTCTTTTCTGCTCAGGACAGCACTGTGTGCTTGGAAACAGCTCTGCTAAGTCCCTTGGGGTCGGGGAAGTGTCCCCCAAGGAGGAAGCTTGAGAAACACTACACTGCAGTAAACTGCCCCCAAGCCCATCACACCCGGTTAACCACGGACCTCCCTTTGGCCCTGTGGGGACTGTAAGTTTGGGGCCAGAGCAGAATCAATCAGGACTTTGGGTGACACCAGCAACCCCTTTCTCTACCCTTCCCTCCAGAACAGGGCTTAACATGTGTTATACCCCGTACTGACCACTGGGGAGCTTGGGGGAACACTGTCACCCAAGCCCTGGTGGATGCCTCTTCTCTAAGGAAAGCTGCATAAACATTGACAGCACATTGATTTGATAGGGCGTCTACTTATTAGCCCGCCCAGGTGCTGACAAATTCCAGTCTAGACCTTTCTAGCAGAACACCCATCGCGTAACAGAACTTATCAGTAGGTCCTGCTGCGCTGTGTGTACCATAGTAATCACGGGTAACAATTCTTTGAGGAGGGTGCTATTTCATCCCCATTTTACAGGTGAACTAACTGAGCCACAACAAAAGAAAGCAATAGGCAGAACTGTGTTGGAAGCCCAGACAGGCTCCATCTTGTGCTCCCAACCGATGTAACCTACTCCCCCTTGGTAGGGGCTGAGTCAACCTTTCCACACAGAAATAATACTGACCAACTTTTAATAAATGTTTGCTAAGTGAATCTCCAGTCAGAAGACAGTTATGCATTTGTTTAACAAATATTTAAGGGCCTGCCGGGTGGCCCACACTGTTCTGGGTGCTGGCACAGAGGGGTGGTGAGACAGATGTTCTGTGATGAAGGAAACCCTCCCCTCTGCTCCCACCAGGTGGCCACCCCACTTCTGGTTCAAAAGAGGGAAAGTTCATTGCCCTAAAAAGTAACTCCGTTTGGTTTTAGGCACCTCTCAGTTTCGTTTTTGCTCAAGGGATTGGCTTCCTCCAGTCCTCCTCCAACCTGAGAACACAAAACTTCATTCTGTGACCTCATGCATGCGACAGCCTTTTGCATATCTGAAAATATGTTTCATATCTAGTTCGGGCCTTCCCTCTTCTAGCGTATCTTAAACTCCCTCCATTCCTCCATCAGGGCATGCTCTGATCTCGGTTCTGCAGGAAACACCTTTCGTTCCCCCTCCCTCACTTGTGTACACTTTACCAGTGACTTCCCACGTACCAGGGACTTTGCTAGAACCTGTGAATAAAGAAAAGGCATGGTTGCTTCCCTCAAGAGATGTGTGGGCTGGGTATGGTGGTACACACCTATAGTTCCAGCACTAGGGAGGTGGAGGCAGTATGATTGCAAAGAGTTCCAGGCCAGCCTAGGCTACATAGTGAGTTCAAAGCCAGCCCTAACTACATAGCGAGACCCTCTCTCAAAAAAAAAAAACCCAAAAACAAAACCTCGAGTATTAATTTCATTACTGTTATCAGCCCATCCTATACTGATAAAATGAAAAATAGACATGTACCTGAATATAGACAAATAGATAAACACTTTACATTTATACATCCTTGGTGAATACCTTCTCACTTCAGTTTGGCAACACACTCAGACACAAAAGCAAGTCTAGAAACCGGTTTTCAAGTTCTGCTACTTCTAACTGTAGGACTTCCCTCATGGTCTGTTCAGGGGATTAAAAGAAATCATGACTAAAAAGATCTGGTCTATTAGCAACCCTATGGTTGATACTCAATACACTCAAGCAATATTTATTCTTAGCTCACTGGTTAATCGAAATTCTCTAAAGCCTGTGTCAACTAGGCGTGGTGGTGCGCACCTGTAGTCCTATCACTAGGGAGGCTGAGGCAGGAGGATCGCTGCAAGTTCAAGGCCAGCCTGGACTCCATAGTGAGTTCAAGACCCATCTAAACTACATAGTGAAACCCTGTCTCAAAAAACCAAAATGACATAAATAAAAATAAAGCCTGTGTCTGGACACCTAGCATATGAGGCTGTGCCTCCGTGTCTGCCACCCACAAAGCTGAGTGTGTGTCTCCCAGTTTTCAGTCCCTCCACGCCCAGTTTGACCCTCCTCCACATCTGTTTCACCTCAATTTCAGACTCGCCTGGGCCAGCTCCAGGCTCTCTGGAGGTTGACAAAGCAGCATCGCCACCTGGAGGCCAGCAGGAGCATCTGGGTGAGAAAATCATTTCCCGGCCTCTGATGAACTTGCCGCGCTGTACGGGCGAAGGAGGCCAATTTCATCCCCAAAGGGACCAATTAGCGTTCCTGGGAGAGACTCTTCCGACGGCCGGCTCACACACGTGTGGCTGTTGGCTGGAAAGTGGAGTCATCAGTCCTAACCCATTTTTCATAATTTCTTAAAAACTCCACTGTGAAGCATCTCGAAAGCAACAAAAACGAGCAATACCCACGCATCATGTTTCACCCAAGTCCTGCAACTTGAATGACAGTTAAGCGAATGAACACACCCCCCCGGTGATCAACGAGATTAGAAAACATTGATCTCATCCAGGTCAAGCAGGTTCTTCCCAGAGAGACTCCTAAGAGCTTCGCGCATGCTGGCGCATGCTGCTAATTTTCCAAGAATGAAATGTAATGTGCAGTGTTTCTGGATTTGAACAGCTACCTGGGTCCTGCCACCACCGCCTCAAACCCTTCCTTCCTTTCTGCCTTTCTTTCTTTCTTTTTCTTTTTTCTTTTTTCTTAAATAATAATGAATCAATCGGCTCAGAGCTTAGGCTACTTCCACCAGAATGTTTAAGTATGTTGTTGTTGTTGTTGCCGCTGCCACTCCCGTTGCTGCTGCCACTGCCGTTGCTGCTGCTGCCGCTCATGCTGCTGCTGCTGCTGCTGCTCATGCTGCCACTCATGCTGCTGCTGCAGCTAGTGTTATTGCTGCTGCTGCGGCTAGTGCTATTGCTGCTGCTGTTGTTGGAGACAGGGTCTTGCTCTGTAAATTAGGCTGAGCCCTGAACTCACTACGGAGCCCAGACTGGCCTCCAACTCGTGACAATCCTCCTGCCTCAGCCTCCTGAGTGCTGGGCTTGCACCCAGAATGTCTATTTAAGAAGCAACTCATCCACAAGGAAAAGTTCACAGTCTGTTGCCAAGAAAACAATTTTTTTCTAAAAACAAATTTTGAAGCATATTATAGAACAGTATTATATTTTGAAAAGATAAAGATGTATCTACATTCGGGTGAGGAAGGATGATGGGGGATGGAAAAGAGTTATTAATTATACACTACAGAGATCCCGATGTTGGCATGAATTTATTGGCTGGAAAGGTCTCACTATACTCTCTGTTCGGTGAAGTAGCAAGTCACAAAAAAACATAGATGGCATTGCCAATTTTTTTTATTTTAAGAAGTGTATTAGCCGGGAATATAGCTCAGTGGCACAAGTACCTGTCTGGCAAGTGCAAAGTCCTGAGTTCGATTCCCAATACCAATAAAAAAATTAAAAAATAAAAAAAGAAGTGTATCAACGTATAGCAATATCAAGAAATTGCCTAGAGTGGTGTTCATCAAATTGTTTTCATCCATCTCTGGAAGTAAGATAATGAGCACATTTTTCTTTTGTTAATTTTTTGTTTTTGGATTTTGCTTTGTTTTGTGAGACAGGGTCTCTCTATGTAGTAGTCCAGGCTGGACTTGAACTTACTATGTAGCCCAGGCTGACCTCAAACTTGTGGCAATCCTCCTGCTTCAGCCTCCTGAGAGCTAGAATTACAGACAAGCACTACCTTGCTGGCAAAGAGATTGTGTGTGTGTGTGTGTGTGTGTGTGTGTGTGTGTGTGCATGCTATTATAAAATATTTCTAACTGGAAGAAATTAAGAACTGCCATAAGTATGTGAGGTGATGGATATGTCAATTAGCTTGATTGTAGCAATCATTTCACAATGTATATGTATCTCAAAACATGATATTGTACACCTTAAATATGTATGATTTTATTTATCAATTATACTCAATAAAAAGTGAGGGTTTTTTTTTAAATGTACATTTAGAAAGGGAAAATGCACAAACCAAAATGATCGTAGTAGTGATCTTTCTGCTGGAGTAGTTGTTTTTCTGAATTTTATGTTTTTCAAATTTTCAGCAGTGAACATACATGTAAAGTTTAAAATAAAACCACACAGAACACGTTCTAAGACAATCTACCATCTTCATTAACTGTTATTATAAAGTACTCATCAGAAGTAACATTTAGTGAAGGATATCTAAATTCCACATAAAGTGGGAAAAGAAGTATTTTCTGTCCTGATTTTTTATTGTTTTGTTTGAGACATGATATCACTATGTAGCCCAGGCTGGGCACAAATTTGCAGTGATCCTCCTGCCTCAGCCATCCAAGTGCTGGGATGATAGGTGTGTGCCACCATGTCTGGCTTACCCCAACGTAAAGACAGGGAAAAAAAATTGAAGAAGCAGAAAAATAAACCCTCCAGAGCCCAAATTTGAACATTACATTACATCACTCTTTGCTATCCTCCAACACACACACACACACACACACACACACACAGTCACCCACACATACTACACAGAGAAAGGAAACACTATTCCTGCAGGGAGAGAGCCAAGAGGGCAACAAAGAGATGGCCTTGCTGCTCGGCCACTCAGTGCCGTTTCTGAAATGGTCCTGGAGTAGAGAACTATACCAAACATTTGGACATAAGCACATAAACGGGTGAGGGCTGGGCTTTCCTACACCAATGCTTGGGCTGTCTCTTTCCCCTTCCTCATTAACCACTAGGAATCCCCAAAACTATCTGTGCTCCTATTTTATCAAGGGTAACAACTCAGTCCTCTCGACCTCTCTATCCACCTTCAGATCCACTCCCCACTTAATAAAGCCAAGCACCATGAAGGGGTCCTTTAAACAGCAACACCTGAGCTTGTGCCTAGGCGCACACTAGCTCCCCACCCCACACCTTTCTCCCTTCCCGGGGAAGGGCACGAAGCACATCTGAGTTCCCTCATGGATCTCAAGCTTGCCTCGCTCCTCTGAAAGGCAGAAGTGTTATTGTTAGCTCTGGTTTAGAAACCGTTGTTACCTTCCATCACACATTATTTTACCCACATAGATTCTTTCACTGATTCCATTCTACAGGTGAAAAAACTGAGGCCAGGTAACTTGCCTAAGGCACCAGAGCAGGTGCATGTCTTGAGCCCTGTGACCCCACATCTCAACCCCCCAAGATTTACAGGAGAACAGGGCTGCTGAGGGTCAGGGCACAGGAAGTGGCTGTCATAAAAACATATCCACCTGACTCTGGTTCTTCAGTGTTAGGACAAACCAGCGAGGTAGACCTGGCCGAAGCAAGCACACAATTCTTCAGCATTCGGGTCTCACCAACAAGTTAAAAGAGACAGATTTTCTTGCTTCTCTCACCATTAATTCTTCCTTTTCCTCTGCCTTTCCCACCGCCCTGTGCTTCCTTATTAGGCAGTCATCCACATTCAAAAACTACTTGTTTAGGTTTAAACTGTGAGGGTGATGGGCGATCCTTTTCCTTTGTCCTCCTGTAGCCCAAGAGGAGGTGGTTAAGAGCCCCTTCCCTTCACCACTTGGCTCCTTTTACCCCTGCTCCAAGGCACCAGGCTCCTGCAGAGCCCAACAAGCAAGTTTTTTGTCCTTCTGCTGCCTTCTAGGTGAGCTTGCAGCTGACTTCCCCTGGCAGCTGGATCTTAAAGAATGAGCTATGCTCGGGGCAGAAGGCATCACAAAGCAATCTTAGACAATCGGTGTTCTTCATTACATCTGCAAAATGCCACCAGCACCTTTGACCAAACATTAATACCACAAGACTTTGACATCTTGTGATGTAGCTGGGGTTTGAGAAATGGGGCTGAGGGTTGATTGGGGTCCCCAAAATAAATCTTTTCTATTGCCATGAAACAGTTACAGTCACACAACTGAAATATCAGCCCTTTGGAAAAGCTATCAAACCCACTCATGCAGCTGGGTAATAGCGTCATCCGAAGCATTTCTCAGATGCCTGGTGTTCGAGCACAGTCCAGGGTGAGTTAAGCAGACACAGTCCATTACGGGAGACATTTCCAAGACAGGATATATGTTCCTGGTGCCAACAATGAGACTGGCTCAGGGGAATGTCAAAGTACCTCCCTCAGAGGCCGGCGTGGTATATTAGAATAATAACTAACATTTATTGGGCCCCTTCATTCACCAGCTCCATTTGACACGTCTCGTATATATTATCTCATATAATCCTCCAAGCAAACCTTGACAGAGCTGCTACCCTTACCCTTGACTTACAGAAGGAGAAACACAGGCTCCTCATTCTTGAGTAGCCAGCCCAGGACAGCACGGCTAGGAAATGCTGGAGCTGGTTCAAATCCACATCCCCCGCCACCAGGGTCCACTCCCTTAACCATGGCACCATGCCTGCATGATTCATGGAGAGTGGTTCCAGCTTGAGTTTTGGAGGTAGATGGTCCTGGGTTCAAATTTGACCTTCATGACTCATTTCGACCATGTATATAGACTCTGTCTTAGGCAGTTTTTTGTTACTGTAACAAATACCTCAGATGAATATATACATATAAAGAGAACAGGTTTTGAGGTGTCAATCCACTGCCCATTGGCCCCACTGCTTTTGGGCCTGCAGCGAGGCAGCACACCATGATGGGAGCATGCAGTGGAGCAGAGCACTCATCTCATGGTTAGAAGGCAAAAGCGAGAAAGAAAAGGATGAGGTCACACAATCCCCCTCAAGGGCACACCCCCAGTCGCCAGAAGACTCCCACAGAGGCCCCACCTCTTGAAGTTTCCACTGTCTCCCAGTGGTGCCAAGCTGGGGACTGAGCCTTTTACACATGGGCCTCCAGGGAAGTTTCCAGACCCAAACCATAGTGCTCTCTACATTTGAACCACATCGTCTGCAAAACATAGTGATACCCATGCTTCATTTGCAGGGAAGTAAGTAAAGAAATATTTCTGTAATTACATTGTATCTAAAGGCCCACATCCATCATTGCCGGAACCAAAATCCTTTTTCCATATTTTTTTCAAAATCCTTTTTAAAAATGCATAGCACAGCCAGGTCTGGTGGCACACACCTATAATCCCATCACTTAGGAGGCTGAGGCAGGTGGAATGACACAAGTTTGAGACCAGCTTGGGGTACATAGTGAGTTCAAGGCCAGCCTGAACTACATAGAAAGGCCCTAAATACTAATACTAACACTAATACTAATACTAATAAAAAATAATAATAATATGATATGCATAGCAAGAAGAAAAAAAGCTATGTTAGTAATTATTTCATTCACTTATAAAGCCTCCA